TTAAAAACCTCGCGATTGCTGAGCAAGAAAACGACACATTCATATTCCAATGCCGAGGTTAAGAGAAAGTCGATCTTGGGTATTAATTCATGTAATCCGATATTCCTCCCTCCATTATCAGTGAAGTTGGCCTACACATGGCTAAAAGCACTACATATTCTTTTAAAAATTTCTTCTCAACATTATAATAAAAGACAAAATTTTAGTAGTAAGAACGTTGACAAAATTTCTAACTGACTACACTGATTCCCGAGACCGACTTCCTGATAACCTCAGCATTGATCGAATAAGTCACTTATTTTCTTTCTTTCTTTCTTGATGAGCAAACACGAGATTACTCCGCACCTTATTAAAAAGGAAAGCTGTGGACTCGGCGAATTTCTCCTAACTCAAAGTCTTGAAAGATCAAGTTCACTGCAAACTACTCAGTCAAACACCTCCTTAACCAAAACTGAGAAAGAAACATGAAACTAGGATTTCAATCGCATTGAGAATAAGATCGTTTCTATACTACTAACAATAGACTATACTAACATTTGTAGGAAGTACAGGAAAGGAACAATCATTAACAGTTTCGCATTCACGCTATCAAGTGTGTGCACAACGTTATATTGCCATATTCGCGATGATGCGCACTGTTTTCAAAGTTTCAGTGTTTCTCGTTAAATTTTGTTTATCAACCGTTTTACCACCAAATATATCGATTCTATCGCCAGCCGAAAAAACTTATTTTATACATTTTGTTAATTGGCAAAAACTGTCAGTAGTTCCAATTAAATATAGAAGTCATCAGCCAATGTTTCAGAACCTGTGCTTAAATCACTGGCTTTGGTTAGCACCGAAATCATAAAAAAATTCGTTGATGTCTCAGAAAAGTATAAACGAAAAAAACTGTGGAGTTTTAAAATATTCCGTTTAACGTCCTTGATAATAATCAATAGTAGTTGATGAAACCACACTCATAAAGACATGAAAAAAGTGCGAAAACCCTATAGCTGAGGACAATATGTCTGACGCAAGTCATCAAAACTCACAAAGAACTTTTAGATTTAAAATAGAATTTATGGGCTCATTCCTATCCGGTCTTAAGTATCTTCGAACTATTAAAAAGCAGAGAATCACGTAAGAATTGTTGATTTGTAGGTATGAACAAACCTTTCGTTGTCCCTTAGAAAGCCAACTGCTACCGTTCGAAATCAAGTAACATACGAGCTGACGGCTCATGTCCATAACTGTTTGAAAAAGTAGCCCAAGGGCATGGATTCCCATTTTGTTTTTGGACCCCTGAAAAGAGAGGAACATGAGGGATTGTTACCTCGTCCATACAAACATAAACGGCACACTACTAAGAATGACTCAAGTCGTTCAATCTTCTGTGATGGCAAAAAAAAAACCGTAAACTACGGATATATCAAATTCTCCAACGATCACCATTTTGATGACATTCTGTGCGTGCAGAACCATATATCCAAGGAGATAAAAATGTGGACGGCCAATTCCTTGCAGCATTTCTTTCATCTGAAATATTATTAGTAAATGCAGCGTTACTGCAACTTCGAAGCCGGAAAAACAATCAAAAATATAAAGGACTTCGCTTCTTTTAACGATACGACATAGTTCTGCGGATCTCGGAATGTGTTCCATTCCATCCATTTTCTCGCATCTATATTCCACAAAAGATTTTAGGCATTGCATCTGAATTTGGCCCCTGCTTGGAAATTCATATTCCGAGCTCTTTTCTCAGAGTCGTTGAATCCAGGCTAAGCCGACTACACTTGGAATATCAGTGCTTGCCCATGCTGAACTAAAGCAGGTTTGGAAGCAATTTCGCGACTAGAGATGTCAGATTACCTTCACCAGATATTTTGGCCTTTGCACAATTTCCACTCATTTCATTCCCTTATGGCCCTGTGCACAGTGGCAGTATATCTCACGCATGGTAAAATTCACAAATTTCATTCGTGAACTATAAATTGTTTGCACTTATGAACACATGTGGTTGACCTCATCGTCTATTGCGCTGTTTTTTAGTGCATCTGTCGTCAAGGTCATCTTGACCACCTAGTCCGCGTTCCTATGGGCCGCCATGCCCTTGCAACTAAAGAACCACATATTTCTACGTTTTCCTTTGCAGCATGGGTTACTTTTAAACGGGGATTTCCTCCGATATGTCCGCAATCCTACCCCTTTTTCAACGTCTCAGATACTTTAATTGTACTCCTCGGCAGAAAACACGACCATATTGTAAGCAGAACAAAGGTTTGGTAAGATTTCATACAATTTTTACTCCCTTGTCATTATTTGATAGTATACCACAAAAGGAAATTCACCCAACCACAATAGAAAACTTAAATAATAGTTACGTTAAAAAATCTTTAAGCATTCCCAACAAAAGACTATGTGGACTTCGAAATTATAAATGTGCTAATCTAGATACTTCCTTGAATTCTTAGATATCGCATCATCATGAATAATTGTGCGAACGCAAAAGTATGCAATCTGTGTTACAGTGTTCTCAGGTCGTTGCCATAGGCATTGTCTAACCCTTGTAGATAGGAAGAGCTTGCCATCTTGCGACTGGGATTCTTCCGGTTCGATAACGACCTTGTGATTGCCTCCCGGATAATGAATCGGTGACGTAAATCGTATTCGCATCTACGAAAGAATGGTGCACTATTGTTTGTTTCAAACCTATAACGTTGGGAATCACTGGTACAGTCTGGCCGGTATATTAGGGTTAATTTGTTCACGATTGATGATAGAACTATATATGCTTAATGAGACAGAAAACAGATAAATGGAGATGGATTTAGCAAATACAAAGCGCAAGTCTCGAAAATGAACTAATTAAGGAATAATATATCCCAGTTTCAAGGTGTTCATTCGTACAGAACTGATGTCACCGACGTTGTGAAACAGAAACTAACAGGATAATATTTAGGCAACTCGATAAGGTGTATGCAAAAGAAGTACACTTACCTTAGTAAGAACTACGCATTGACAAACTCCTCTCCAATCACAAAAGCAACTCCTAACAAGCATTTCGAAGTCGCACGATAACAAAGGTGAAGGAAGTTGTCGTAAAAACCTAGCAAACAAACCCTTAATTTCAACTGCTAGAAACGCAGAGAATTAAGCGAAACCTCTTAATTAAACCAGCAGCCTCATGTCCGTCGCAAAAATCCAATTGCACACCTTCATTGGCTTTCTTCTCAAGTTCATCAAGGCGTGATTTAGGACTAGACACACGGTAAATGCCTTCTTGCATTATCCCTAGAAAAAATAACAGCTGAACGTGGGCTTCACATAGAAACGAGTACTTTTGTGGAACATGACAGTACCATGAGCTTCAACGTAGTCGATTGAATAACGGAAAAAAGCAGGAAGAGGTATCCCATCCAAAGAAGGATTCACATCAATAGCAATCTCAATTGGAACACCAAACACTTGACCGGGTAGCTATAAAAGACACGACTACATTCCACATTTTCTCTCTATCGTAATTCAAAAGCGATAAAGAACACACAGCTACAACCTCCTCTCGATGCGTCTCATTGATTTTATCAGAATTATCCATGTTGTTCAATTTTTTCCACTTCCCAAATGTTTTTCGCGACGATTTGCGTGAAACACTGTAAAAATCAATTTTCTACACGATCAAATCTGATTGCATGAAATATACTCACAATCGAAGGCCCTTTCGTTTTTTCTCCTTCTCCAGCTCCTCTACCATATTACGGTGAGAGTCCTAAGACGAGAAAATTTCTAAAACAACATTAGAGACGCATAGCATTCACTTCACTGACGTCTGCATCAAAACATAGACGGCTCCCAAAGGATAGCGAAACTAATTTGGGTTTGATGCACAAATGTAAGGATATGCTAGCATCTCAATGCAAAAAACTAGTCGGGAAACAAACCCATATTCAATTAATACCACTCATTCATGTGCTTCATATTTTAAAAACTAATCAATATAAACCGTTAGGAAGTTTAATACATGGCATAATACGACTACAGAGACGGAACTACCTGACAATCCACTCCGTATTTCAGTCACTCACTAAACTTAGTCGTTTCACTTCAACATAAAAGCAAGCATAGTTCCTCATCAGTTTCGACCTCTCGTTAAAAACTGGTACACAAAAAATGCGGAGTCATGTTGGTCACTTACAAGATTTTTTTTACAACAGAAGACAATAATCAGGAAGACATGGAACGAGGAGGAAAGAGCACCAGATTCAATAACACTGCAATCAATTATCAGAACTACGAGCTGAAAAAGATTTCCAACTCTTGTAGGATTTTTGGCTTACACTCTTGTATAAAAAATACAGGAGACATCCTGTTAAAAGACAACGAGTAAAAAGTGTAATGAAACTTTAACGAATCATTAAAGACTAAAATGTTAAATACAACCATAATGATGTTGAGATATTCGCAAAACTTGAGCCCCGTACCAGTACACTATCAGTCCAGGTTTTTCGAAGATCTCAGCATCGTTGTGGTTGTATACCACATCAAATCCTGCCTTGAAAAATTATACCATGCAAAAATAAAAAATTTAACACCAAAATATTACTTAAAAACATTGTCTCTGTTACTATGTAGTAGAAAGTTTTCATGAGTAAGATACAAGATAATCATAAGAATAGACTGTACAAATCTACTACACACGTGAACAACATAGTTATAAGAATAATCAGAATGAATTCGCGGCAGTCAGTAACGCTCCATGAGGCCAAGTGCTTTACGAAGATTGTCAACCACTGCACGAGTATCTTCATAGTCCATGGCACTGAGAGCATATTTTGTAAATTTACGTGCTTCATTAAATGCCTCAACCGACGGTTTTCTCTCATCACTTTTTGACGAATCTGCAAACATGTAAGCACAATTATAGCAGATTGTAGAAAATATAAAGTGTTTCGAAAGTCAAACCAAGCTCAACACACCAATATTCAATCCATTCATTTCGGGCAAAGAGGAACTTGTTGACCCGAGACTACTGGAATACAGCTGAGAAGGACACACAGCAGATGAGGGATAAGTACTGGACGCACCTTAAACAAACTGAACTCTCTCAGAGACATAAAAGTAATGCTTTACAGGAGTTTAAAAGTTTTAATCCGAACGAAACACATTCCCGGTGTCGAACCTGGAACTCCTGGTAGTCCACCAAAGTCGTAGTTTGATGTGGCTACCGGTGGTTGATTTCTACTAGGAGGCAGTAACTGACCACCATCGCCATGTATAACTTTTGGATCCATGAAACCTAATGTTGAAGGTGCCGATCCGGCATCCGAATGGCGCTGTTCTGCACCAGTCACTGGGCACACATTGCCTGGCGAATCTTAAATCATCACATCGATTACATCAAATAAAGAAGATCATCCGAGAACACCCCATCGTTAGTGCAAGGATGAAGACTACTTCATGAGTACGCCTCTTTCCACTTATAGATTTCCTTCTTAGCGCCCAGATAAAATATGATCAAACCTTCAGATTGCTGGCTACTTGCTACGTACGGCTTTCCATCCTTGAGACAGGAAAAGATTTGCGTGCTCTTCCACTTAGCGTATTTCTTAGTGCTGAGGAATGGTTCGTCCACCAGAAAAACAAAAAACAAAAGAAGTAAAATGAAGGAAAACAGCAATTAAAGAGGAAAAGAAGAAAGTTGGAGGCACTTAATTACCACTGAAGGGTAACCCACTTCTCCGAATAAAGAAAGTACATCCATGACATGTCCAGCAGTGTAGAACGCATGCACCACACTCTTATCGACTTGACCTGCCTTCTCCTTAGTGTCAGCGAAATTGAACAGTTTAAGTGCATAATTCTCCAAATGTGCTTGCGCGACAACCTTTAATAAACGAGTGCAAAACTCTTGCGTAATAAACCTAAGCCAATAACTAATACCTCGCTAGTTATTGCTTCGGTACCGACCAACTGCTTCTTGATTGATTCAAGCGTACCTAGCAACCCAGTAAGAAAATGTAGCGCTTCCGGTGAACTCTTATCCAACTGCATAGCATTTTGTGCTGCATAGAAGAGGCCTATAATGAAATGAATACTGAGATCTTTAGAATATTGACAAAAAGAGTAACGAAGACCTACACCAGTAGTACACAACAGGATCACGGTTAGAATTCTCATTGGCGATTTTAATGTAATGAGCAATCGGCTTCAATGATGCTGGTATTTTAGCTGCCATTTATAACTGCAACTAACCTAGATTGAATATTGTCTCTTACTCCTTCTCATACAAAGAAAAAAAAATACAATGTACAGAAGTTAGGAGCCGTTCACAAAGCATAAAAGGATAAAGCTGTTCATCAATCTCTGCGGGATGCCCCATGCATCCGACTGCACTGGCCTTTAAAATGGCTCGCGGTGGCCTACCGACGCATCGAGCCAGTGTTGCTATCCTCCCAGAGAAATCTGGCACCAATTTGCTGACCCCGGAAGGACGGAGGGCTTGGTGGGCGACGGGCGCCAAGATCGGCCCCTTGGGTCTACCGCAGGGCTCCTCTGACCACTGCGCCACAAGCGCTCCAGTTGTTCATACAAACATGAACCTGGTGATTTGTTCTCTGATTTTAACCTTAACGAAATATTCACGTATCTCCAAATACGAACTCTGGAACGTGGAAAGCCAGGATGACCAATCAATGGAAAGAAAAGAAGTGCAGCTCAAAAGCTGTTACTTCCACAGAAAAGAAACCGTCACACTAAGAGATAAAACTGGGAAAATCAAACCGATAAAAGGTAAATTGCAACGAAAACAACACGTTTTCACAAGAACTGGGAAAACAATGTTACGAAAAAACCTTTATAAATATAAATACATCTCGGAAGTTCCCACCAATCACAATTTACAAAGACACCAAATTCATTCACTTATAATTCCAGTTATAGTATGTACACTTAAAGATATGCAAAATAGGTAAATATAGGTGTAACATTCTAAATTTTCACTTCAAATCTAACCACATTTCTACACGATTCTTAATATTACCGCTTCGTATTTTCAATTTTATCGATCGTTACACTATTTCTCATTAACACTTGTAAATTTATAATAATGGACATGTTTGCATTACCAGTTTTCCAAATAAATCCTTATTTTTCACTGAACGTTTTACTACAATGAGCGCTGTGATCTTCTACATAAACCAGGTTCAAAAAAGTCCAGTATTACTTATTGAGTTTAGCTAAAATTGAGGAATCCACTTCTCTAAACAATCACATTAGGAGAAAAATGATAATTTCTTCATACAAGATCATAACATACGATATTTCCTATACTAGGCTCTAGGCACATAATGATCTCCTACACCTGGTAGAGTCCCGAGGTTATCATGCATTTCTGGGGTGTACGTGAGAACAACGAAAAAGACCCAAAGATGTACCAGTAGGAAATAAATCGCTAAAAACAAACGAGCTGACGGGTAATTACGAAGCATCGAAACTACCCGCAACATTACGGAGTCAATCATTGTTACTGCTTGTTTTGCTCCCGGATGATGAATTGGCAGAGAGACCGAAGGCGGATCAACTGGTATCACAGTCTCGCGAGAAGACTTCTAAACAAATACTGTTCAATTCGACGTCGACCACAAATGTATACACCCAGGTTACACACCTTGACAGGTGATTTGTTGACTAGGTACGTAAAATAAAAGATAAAAAGAAGATAAAGCTCTCCGAATTGATCAATCCCTGAGGGATGTGTCACGCATTCGACTTCACTGGAGATGAATGAATGCATACATGGCCTTTATAATGATTCGCGGTAACACAACGATATATTCAGCCAATGTTGCTGTTCCCCCAAACAAGTCTGGTACCAATTTGCCTAGGGATCGATCCCATGTATACCGCACGGCGCCTCCGACCACTGCGCTACACCCGCCCGTTATATACATGAAATACCCAACTAAAAATTCCGTCCAGCGCTCAGAACCCAACAAGTCAATTTTTGATGCATAAAATAGCGCACTATATAATAATCGAACCGTAAACACAAAACTACTAAGAAGTATGACATCGCTGTTTAGCAAATGTACAATCATCAAATTGACTATGTGACGTGAGTTCTATTAATTTAGTTACAACGGAAATAGATATACCTGCAACCTCTCCAGTCGCAGCGAAAGTATTTGGTTCTTCCGAAGAGCTTCTTCAAGCTCGCTTTGCTTTTGTAGAAGACGCTCGCCTATTGACAACCCATCGTTCCCATGAGTCAGTTCTTCCTCTCGCCTTCTTTAGTAAAAAACAGTTCGTCAACGACTAATTCATTCAATAAGTGACGCCTTAACAGTTTTCAAAGAGTGTTTCAAGTATATTATTCACAGTAGAAGACATGACCTATCTGTCACCTTACAATTTTTACCTTTACTTCTCAAAATACAAGGCACAACTTCCAAATATGTTTTCTCACCTTGCTCGTTGATCTTCAACATTTCTCCTCATTTCAACTTCTTGAAGCTCAAGCTTCTTCACAAAATCTTCACTTTGCCTCTTCATCTCTTGCTTAACAAATTCACCCTCAATCCTGAAACTTGAGTGTTATTTTAAAACAGTAAGACTACTTCTTTCAATATAAGATATAAGTAAATTTAATACAAACGGAGTGACCAAACATCTCGCTAAGAGGGATCTCTTACCGGTCAATCGCAAGACTAGTGTTGATTCCACATATTCTTAACAGAGGACAAACTGAAAAAGACCATGCTCTAAGTCGCTGGTGGACTGAGTTCATGACCTTCTTCCTGCTGTACTGATTGGCACATAAGTTCTCCGAACATATAAACATATTCACATATGTGTACGTGAGCTTGCTTAAGCATGGATTGTACTCTGCACGATCAATCTGCTACCAGTTCGTAAATCGTTGACAGAGTTTCATGGCAAACAATTTACAGTGGCCTACAACAAAAAATTGGTAGAACAATTAATGGTAACCAGTAAAAGCTCTCCCTAGTTAGTCTTCCAAAACGATAAAGGTGGAAAGCCTCACTGAAAAGACGATTACAGAAAACCATTAACCTAAAACCATATCAAGCAACCAAATTTTAGGACGAATAGTGAAATGCTGTAGTTGAAACTCGTGTACGAGAGCGTTGGAAGCTCCCCTCGAGGGCAATGTCATCAGAGTGACGGAAATGGGTGCATGCGGTATATAATAGGCGTTTTATAGCAAAAAGATAAAGAGGATAAAGCTCTCGGCGTTGATCAATCCCTAAGGGATGCGCCATGCATTCGACTTCATTAAGAATCGTTGATAACTGAATGCATATCTGGCCTTAACAATGACTTGCGGTGGTCTACCGATGCATCTAGTAAGTGCTGCTTTCCTTCCAGACAAGTCTGGTACCAATTTGTGGACCCCGGGGAGATAGAAGTCTTGGTGAGCCTTGGGCAGGAGTACCGATCCCATGTGTACTGCAATGAGCTTTCGACCACTGCGCTACACCCGCCATCTTTTCCTGAGAAAATAACAGAATTTCGTATCGGAAAAGCAATGTTGAAACATGCAACGGATGATAGGTTAGCATAATAGATGCCCGCGTGAACACGAATCTCTGAATAATCAACGATCAACGATCAAATCTGTTCACCTTCGAAATCATGTTACCTGAGTTTCTACAATCATCATCGCCTACGCTCCAGTATAGATTAAACAAGTAACAAATTTTTAAAGGTTTTATTAGGATTTGGAAAAAGATTATGGCAGATCCTTATTCTGTTCTATAAAAACACTGGCGAATTACGTCAAGATTGGCGTACAAAGAACGCCTGAACGTCAACACATCGGACCGAGATTGAAATAATAAAACAGACTTAGATGCTCCTAACGGTCACAAAAGAAAATTTTCCTTTCTCGATTATGGATGTGGGAGGCTCTCACTTAACAGTAACCAGAACCGTAATGGAGTACACAATATTACCAATATTATTGTTTCTCCAAAGTTCAATACTGGATAAGATCATCAATTTCTTTTTTTAGCGCGAGAGAATAAAGGTATATCCACTCAATCACAAACTGGAGAACTAACGCTGAGACTCTAAACAATCTGCATAGAAGCAGCGAGGACCCTATCTTAATTTTGAAATAGGATTACCACCAAAAAATCGCCCCATATCTGGTCGCAAAAGGACCACCGTTGAACATCTAAAGAGCCGATAAACAGACTTAGTCGATAAACTGCTTGACCGGCTGAGCTTCAGGACCTTACACAGTCCTTCTTTACACGTGGTTCAGTACCTCTTCTACTCATTTCGTCGCCCTATCTGCAATTATTATCCCATGGAGAGCGCAGTTCATGCGTAAGTTTATATACACTTTGATGACGTTCGTTTTCCTCACTAATTTTTCTTGGAACCCCAAGAAAAGACGCTCTCAGACTTTCACTAAATCACTGCAATGGTAAGAGGTCCTTTGAAATACACACGTAGTTTATGGTTTGATCTCGCAATCCAGGCTCACAATCAAACTAACTAATAACTAAAAATAACTGCGGCCTCAGCTTAATTGGGTTCGTTGCCGATTTGGGCCCCCAGATCAATCCCGCTGACGGGCGATTGCTGATGGCGAAAGATCGATGGAACTAGCTGAGATATACGCAAAGCGAAGGACCCGGATGGTGTAGTGGTGAAGTGCGCTGCTCCCCGGTAAGGACAACAGCGCGTGTTCGTTCTCCACTGCATACACCTGTGGTCCGGAGTTTTGCAAATATCTCAGCATTTCATACGATTTACCAGCAAAGTTTTTTTCATACATAGGAGTGACAACCTGAAGGCATTTGCAATCACCACCGAGTTTGATGTCTGGTATTTACAATCTCTTTACCAGAACTACTCCCAAAACGATAGATGAAAAGCTGGAGAAAGTACAATCAGGTGAAAAAATGGACTTCGAAGTTCAGTATTACTCAAAATATTAACACAGATATAGAACTAATTGAAATGCTACTGTTAGACTGTTTTTCACGAGCAAAAACTGTCAACAGAACATTCGGTTTACAGCCGCTAAAGTTTCGGGCGCTTTGTCCTTTTTAAAGCCGTTTTTCTACTTCTCTACTCTTCAAATTTCACCAAGGCGCCACATCACATCGAAGTATGGTCTTGTGAAAGTTAGCAGATTTCTCATTGCATGAACTTTGTGCGAACCCTATCGTTAAAAAAGTGGACAACAGAAAACTGGCTCTGAATAACAGGAAATCCATTAAATTTTAGCTACTGTTCGTGTAAACTCATCAATATCAGTCCCCAAGATTAGCTTGCCGACTTCTCTTATTTATTGGTTAATGATGAGTTAGTCTGAAAGAAGACTTTTAGGAATAACAATCAAACCAATTCAATATTTTGAGACTTCAACAGGCCTTGAACGATAAATTGGATGTTATTCGTTTTCCCTAAGCGGACAAAATCGATTGAACAATTCTGAAACACGAGAAGGAATAACTACAACTATAGAACTTCAACGATGCTGAGTTCTTTGCAAAACTCCGGACCGCAGGTGTTTGCGGTGGGGAACGAACGCGTTATTGACCTTTATGGGAAGTAACGCGTTCACCACCACACCACGTCGGTCCTTCGTTTCGTTTCAGATAGTTTTCTATCTACGACTGCCATCAGCAATCACCCGTCAACGGGATTGATCTGGAGAATCGACATTGAACCCAGTTAAGCTGGAGCTGAAGTAGAAATCATAATGTTAACTTTTTTATTTACTGCCTACTATTTACAATTTCTCACGGAAGGCGATATGAAGGACTCGCATGGTGTGGTGGTGAACGCATTAGCCACGGAGAGGGTAACAGCACGTTCATTCCCCACCGCAGACACCTGCGGTCCGGAGTTTTGCCAATGTCTCAGCATCACTGAATTTATATTTCGCAATATACCCTACCGTGAAAAAGAGTAGGCAATAAATAATAAGTTAAAATTACAACTATACAGTTATAATGGCGAATTCTTCACTTCTTCGATGATCAACTAGGGTACATATGGCACAAATGATGTTAATTACAATATGAAATACAAACCTAGCACAATCCACTTTCTCGCTTAGCAATGCTACCGTTGCCTGCCAACTCTGTTTCTCCTCCAAGTAAAGCTTTCGCTGCTCGCTTTGTTTAACCTGAACATCTCACAATAAAGAATGATCTGAGCGTTTCACGATCAATATTCTCTTAAAAATCCCGGGACATAACCTGTTCCTCCCTTAATTGATTCTCCATCTCATCGATTTCCGAACGTAAATTGTAGACCATAAGTTGAGCCGACTCTAAGTCCGCACGTGCAAGATCTCTGAAACATAGAAAACACTACACTCAGAAATAAAGTTGGTGAACAAATTCAAACAGACCTCTCTACTTTCATCTCCTCCAGCTCCGCTTGCAATAGATGCCCAGGGCGATCTGGGCTTTCACCCATGTTTTGCTAGAATCCAAAGCATAGTTACAGCAAGTGGTGACTCTTACAAAGTAATAAGATCAAAAGAGATAAAAGCACTAGATTTTTACCTCTGCCTTTAATGAAGACACCAATTTCTCCTTGGCTTGTAGAATTTTCTGTGCTTTCTCCTTGTACTGATCAAATTCCTTTTTGTTCTCACTAAGATTGAATTTGGCAAGACGAAGCTTGAAAAACCCATTGTTACGTCACAAATCATCCTTGGGATTGCATAAAACCATGTTCTGAGGTCTACATTAGCATCGTTTGCACCTATAGGGGTCCAATCATTCTACAAAATAGGACCAACCTCTCAATACCGAATGATCAATACACACCTGCTCACTCATTGCTCGCACTTCTTCTTCCTGTGCTATGTACTTTCGCTTTAATTGAGTACATTCTTCAAAAAGAATATCCTGTTGTTCTTGAGCCTTTTTCCTAAACAAAATGATTTTAATGACAGAGTCGCAGAAACGAACAGAAATGGCATTATGAACTAAAGAAATACCTAGCAAGTTTCAATTCCTCAACGCTATCGGGACTTGCTTGCTGTGTTAATCGTTGTTCAATAACTTCCTTTTCAGCCTTCAACTCGTAAAATTCATCGCTTCGTTTAGCAAGTTTTCGTTCCAATTCCTCAAATGATATGGATGTTCGAATCCTAGATACAATCTCTCTGCTCATGAAAAGAACCAAATAACACAAAACGAGTTACCGAAATCCTCGTCCTCATAACAGCGATTTGGGATTCTTTTGCCCATAACTGAGATTTGATATGTGAATTATCAGGAGGCAATTCTAAAACATCGCAAAGGAAATGCTCGACAAGCAGAAACAGCGGTTCTATTGATCTCGAATCTCACCGGTGGTCAAACTTTGAGCTGTCTGGGTGGACATAACACTACGGCCACTAGATCGACGACTACGAACATCATCACCAACATTCGCAACATCATTATTGAGCATTGCTATCAACTCATCATCTCTTCGGCTCCGTTCGGTAGCAACAGAAGTAGAAGGCACAAAACTACATAAATAATTACATATGAAAAAGTATGGCATCATATTTATGTGACAAGACTGCAAATAGAAAGAAATGACCACCTCTCATTGACTTTTTTGCGGCCAGCAGCAGTTCCTCCAGCGAACTCTGAGTGAGTTCTAGAAGGAAGAGAAGGACCACTACGACCAAGCTCCTCTGTATGTACTTCTACATCGTCATCCTGAAAAACAAATCTGAATACCTTGATCTCAGAGAAAACAGACAACGCATAAAAAATAGTCCAGCTACTTTCTCCGATATATCTCAATCTTTGTTTCCCTCTTGACCTCGAAGGTGAATTGAGAAAAGGTTGGAAAAAGGAATATTTTGAGCACATTTATCTAGTTACTATAAATTCTTTTAAACATGAAGAAAACGAATTACTTGGTTTCGTAGTTGAGCGAAGGAGCTGCTCCTCGCAGGCCTTGATGAAGCGAGAATTCTTTGATTCTGGATAGCATCACCTGCAGATCGATCTATGCGATCCAACAAATCTTCAGCCTTTCCGGCAAGGTCAGATACCTTTGCTATCCATGACATCTATTACAAATTACAGAAGAATTAACAACATTTCAGCATAAACATTGCAAACGACTTTTAAAAGAGGATAAAGCTCTCGGCGTTGATCAACCCTTGAGGGTTGTTCCAGGCATTCGACCCCACCAACCATCCTTATAGATTACTGAATGCATATCTGGCCTTTACAGCAACTCGCGGTGGCTTACCATCCAATGTATCAAGCCAGTGTTGCTATCCTCCCAAACGAGTCTAGTACCAATTTGTCGACCCCGGAGGGATGGAAGGCTTAGTGAGTCTGGCGCGCGGGGATCGATCCCATGTGCATTGCATGGTGCCTTCTATCCATGTGCTACGCGTGCCCGAAATGACCTTTAAGACGTACAAGTCGCTACAATTTAAAAATACTTTTCAATGACCACATGACACATCAAAATGTAACGTCACTAACGCAAAAACGATGTACGGCGGAAATATGTAGGTAGCTGGCCGTGAGATCGGGCATAGGGATTCACCATGGAGCGCGATAACTGGCACCACATCGGAAGATTTAACAAAATGCAATGTGTGATTTTGTTGTTTGAAGAGTTTGTTTGCGAAATAGTATGTACTAATACAAGTATAGCTACAGGAAGTAGAAAATCTGACAAGGAACACGAGCAATGATGGCATACACTTACTTACTTGATACTTGAACGCTCATCCTCACTAGTTGTGCGGGCCCCAGCTTAATCACCATTGTTTGGAGATCTGCTGGTTAAGCCATTGTGGTCCCTTGGAATTCCGGGGACGGCGTGGCCAAAGTCTACCCCAGGTCACCATCACGACAGGCAGTCGCAGCCCTTGTGGATCAAAGGGAGAGGGAAGATGACATACAAATTCTACAAAAGTGTGAGCTTTCTCATTATTTCTCATTCGAAAATAAGCTTAGCTTCAAAATGTAAACTTTTTACTTACTGAATGAATTGTGAGTGAATGAAAATGAATCAGAGAGGTTTTAATAATGTTAGTAGTGTTCTGAAGGTATAACTGAATAGAATGAATACAGTGGATGGCGTAGGACACCTTTTGAGTTCTAAGAGATAGCACAGCGGCAGTGAGGCGCGTCGTCGCTAGGACGTTGTTGGTTCCACCTCGCACCAGACCCACCGAGCCTCGCATCCTTCTGGCGTGAGAATATTAGCACCGGACTTGTCCGGAAAGGAAGGAACCAATATCAGAATCTAACCGGAACGCTCCACCTCGGCTATCTCAGGAGTCCAGGGTGAATCGACTCTAACAGCATTCAGCAACACTCATGACGAAATGAGAATCCTCACGCTTCAGCCTAAGCCACAAATAGAAGTTGGAGGAGGTTCGTGGATGATGGATGCGAGGAAACGACCTGAATGCAGGAAGCGCTGGGATCTGCACAGCAGACATGGAACGGTGCGTATAAAATAAAATTAAAAAAATTAAAAGAAGTAATCGACAGGCTGCTAGAGTCAGACATTTGCTCTGAAGCGATTCCTTCTACATTGCTCTTACATATTCGGAATGTGTTAATAGTTCCTTGAATTATTAAGCAAACACGAGGTTAATAACAAAAAAGTTTTAGTCGGCTAACGTTTCGGCATTATTAGACCTATTGTATCTGTTAGATTATCGCATGGATAGCACGGGAGAGGAGATCGGGCTTCGTCTATTCATGAGATCTTATTCGATGACGTCGGGGAAGAAAGCAATCATCTAATCATCTACTGCCTACTCTTTTTAAACGGCAAGGTATACAATGTGAAATATAACTTCAATGATGCTGAGATATTTGCAAAACTCCGGACCGCAAGTGTATGCGGTGGGGAACGAACACGCGCTGTTGTCCTTACCGGGGAGCGGCGCACTTCACCACCACACCATCCGGGTCCTTCGTTTTGCCTGTCTCTCAGCTAGTTCCATCGATCTTTCGCCATCAGCAATCGCCCGTCAGCGGGATTGATCTGGGGGGCCCAAATCGGCAACGAACCCAATTAAGCTGAGGCCGCAGTTATTCTTAGTTATTAGTTAGTTTGATTATAACTGCGGCCTCAGTTTAACTGGGTTCGTTGCCGATTTGGGGCCCCAGATCAATCCCGCTGACGGGTGATTGCTGATGGCAAAAGATCGATGGAATTAGCTGAGAGACAAGCAAAACGAAGGACCCGGATGGTGTGGTGGTGAAGTGTGTTGCTCCCCGGTAAGGACAAAAGCGCGCGTTCGTTCCCCACCGCATACACTTGCTGTCCGGAGTTTTGCAAATACCTCAGCATCATTGAAATCATCTAATCGTTTTCACCTGAAGGTAAAGCTTTCTTTTCTAAACAGTGATCCTGTTTCAGCGAAAAATATCGATGTCTTGTCGTATTTAAGATTTGATGAGGACTTCGATTTGTTTTTCAATGTAGCCTTGTCTTTGAACTATGCACTTATGGTCTCATTAATTACTGTGCTTAGAATAAATGAAACTTATACTAACGAATCGTTTCAAAAGTTGCTTTTAAAACAAGATATTTGATTTAAAGACCATCCAGGATCTCAACCTTTTCCATATTGAAGTATGACTTCCCGAATTTCGATGGTAATGTGAAGTTTTCGTCTTACGTGATACATCTGGTGATGGTGAGACAAACTGAGTGACGGCTGACCCAACTCTAGAACTTCTTCAAGCAACCTGGGATACAAACTGTTATGCTAGACTAACGCGATCTTCATTAAAAAAATTTGCCTTAGTCTTAAATCTCGCTACATTCATTTTGAATATCTTAGTGATTGATCGTTCAAATCAGTATTTAAAACCCTATTAGTTCAGTTAACTTATATCCTTTTCTCCATTCATCTTCGCCAAAATCTATTCCTTGTGCACAAAATTAAATGGAATATACTTGGATACTTGAAAGGGTCGTCTTCACGAGTTGTGAGGACCCCTACTCATTTTCCATTCGTTTTTTTTTACATCGAATTTGTCGCCCATGGCGGTGGTTCGAATAGTTAAAGCACTCCAAGAGTAGCATACAGTATTCTTGACGTGGTTGAAGTATCAGCCTACTTGCTACTGCATAACAGAGCTTTGGGAGTACTGCTGAACCAAAAAAAGGCACATTTTCGGGCCTCTTAGTTAGACGGTGGCTTCTTTGAGAGGCACGAATGCAGCCTAAGTAGCTCTACATCCTCTATATGATTTTTCTCTCATGTTATTCTCCATGTTCATTAAACGTCCAAAGTATACGCTCGAGGTGATCTCTATAATCGGAGACCTACCCAGTTCGATCTGTTTTCCTTCGCGCCATGGGTTTTCCATGAACTGAGTCTTCTTCTGATTGCCTCGTACGATCTTCCTTCCTCCTTCTCCGAGCTCATTGACCACCGTCTCCACCTTGCTGGTACTTCTTGCGAAGACGACGATGTCCTCGGCAAAGCAACGATTTTATAGGAAATTTCCATCGATATTTATGCCTTCCTCATTCCAGTCAAGTGATCTTGTTATTCACTGTAATATAGTACTAAACACATTTGGTGATATGGTATCGCCTTGCTGAATCATTTTCACTAGGAGTATGGTAAGAGGCAGAGGCGGGGCAAGTGTAGGGCAATGGTTAGAAGTGCCCTGTAACATACACGGGATCGGTCACACGCCTCAAGCTCACTAATCCCTTCGTCCCATCGCGGCCGGCAAATTGGAAGCAGACTTGTATGCAAGGATACCACGGTCATTATGTAGGTTAGATAAGCATTCAATCTCCTCCAATGATGCCTAGATGGGCGTCGAATGCATGGCGCATCCGTCAGGAATTGATCAACGCAGAGAGCTTCATCCCTTATCCTTCATGGTAAGAGATCAATGGAAAAGGTGTGTTTTCGTGGCGCAGCTCCGCTAACAGTTAGATAGAGTTGTTACGTAGAAAGCGTCTACTCTTTGCTCGATGTTCGCCGTTAGGATTGCACTCGTTTCTACACTGTCAAACACTTTTTCATAGTCGACAAAAATAGGACTAGTGGCAGGTGGTAATCCCGACAGTCTTCAATAAACTCTGGACACAGTTTGGATGCTCTCCGCGCAGCAAAATCCTTGTCGAAATCCTGCTTGCTGCACTGATTGCTCTTCATCCAACGTTCTTGACATGCGCGACGGGATTACCTTCGTGTGAAGCTTGTAGAGTGCACTCGACGAGCATATCGCACGATAAGTAGGAAGATCCTTTCAGTCACCCTTTTTGGACAAGATGACCGTGTGCGACGTCTTCCACTGGTACACGATTTTTTTTCCTTCGGAGTCAGGATGTCATATGCTGCGAGATATACGTGTAGATTTTAGTTTCTAGCTCTAAGAAGGTCGCTGGAAATATTGTCGGGTTCTGGAGCTGTGCCTTTTTTCATACTTTCTATCACGACTAAAGCCTCAGAAGGAAGAGAACGGTGTAAAGCTTTTCAAATATCATGGGAAGAAGTTTTATTGATCTCATCGTCGTTCATCACGGCTGACAGGGGAACATTGTACTCGCACAAGTCTCGACGGCGTTTCTTCAGATTGGTCTTTCTTTCCTTCCTTTTCTTTTCTGTGCTGCTTCTAACTGTTTCTTCCGCTTTTCTCGATCTAGATCTTCCTGCAAAGCTCTTTTGCAACCGGCGTTTATTACTAGCCGAGTTAAGCACGTTGTAGTAGGATGGAGCTTCAGTTTACCTCTCTTCTCGAACAACTCTTTGGTAATGCGGATGCGATCTGGTGATCTTGTTTATCTTCATTGTTTAGTATTCCGAATGGAAGTGTCAAACTCTTAGTTTAGATGAAGCTGCATGCGATGAATCTCTTGCTTGCTGTATGACAGCGAGGCATACCACGTCTTTGCGGTAAGGTTACTGAAATAATGAAAGAGACTCGTATGAAATGCTGAGATATTTGCAAAACTCCGGACCACAGGTGTGTATGCAGTGGGGAACGAACACGCGCCGTTGTCCTTACCGGAGAGCAGCGCACTTCACCACTACACCATCCGGGTCCTTCGCTTTGCATGTCTCTCAGCTAGTTCTATCGATCTTTTTGCCATCAGCAATCACCCGTCAACGGGATTGATCTGGGAAGCCAATATCGGCATTGAATCCAGTTAAGCTGAGGCTTAGTTATAATCACAATCTTAACTCTTTTATTTACTGCCTTTTTTTACTGCCTTAATGAAAGAGAGTCAATTACCTATGCAACAGTGCCAGGAGCGACGCATGAAAATTCAAGCTCAAAGTTTTATTTTTTCCTAGACCGTTATACCAGGCGTTTACTACCGCATTACATCGCAGCTCGACACCCAGCACAACCTCTCCTCCTTTCAGGAGGAATAATACACTGATGTTTAGTCACTTAATAGAGCGTTTTCCGATATGGCGAAGACAGAAAAAAAGCGCTCTAAACTGAGTCAATTGTTATTACAGGCTTGGAAAGCAACATACTAGAGACCTCTTTAGAAAAATTGATCGCCTGTTTACTCTTTAGCACTAAACCTCGCCAACACGCTTTACACGAAGTGCTAGATCTTCTCATTTTATTCCCATTTCTATCCTAAAGAAGACCCGACCGAAGACCACGAACTGCTTGCCGAAGAACTGAAAAGCTGTGTTTAGATCGCCTCAGTTCCTCAAGCAAGAGGATCGGAGCGCATCTCCATAACTACTAAGGAGTTGCTCGAAAAGAGAAGGAAACTGAAACTCGATCTTCCTGCAACATCTCTAACATGGCTAGTAATAAATATCAGCTGCAGAAGAGCTTTGCAGGAAGATCTACATTGGTACAAGCAGAAGAAGCTACTGGAGGTAGCAGAGAAAAGAAGCAGTCTGAAAAAGTGTCGCCAAGACTTGTGTGATTATAATGTTCCGCTGTCATCCCTGAAAAACGAAGATGGGATCTTCTATAATGGAACGAAAATATTTCACCTTTTATTTTCTGCTTACTACAATTTTCATGGCAGGGTACTAAGCGAAATACAACCACAACGTTGCTGAGATATTTGCAAAACTCTGGACCACAGGTGTCTATGGTGGGGAACGATCGCGCTATTATCCTTTCCGGGGAGTAATGCGTTCACCACACCATGCGGGTCTTTCGTTTTGCCTGTCTCTCAGCTAGTTCTGTCGATCACTGCCATCAGCAATCACCCGTCAACAGGTTTGATTTGGGGAGCCCAAATCGGCATTGAACCCAGTTAAACTGAGGCTGTAGTTATAATCACAATCTTCACCTTTTTATTTACTACCTATTCTTTTTAATGGCAGGGCATGTCGCGAAATATAACTTCTGTAATGCTGAGATATTTGCAAAACTTCGGACGGGATTGATCTGGTGTTGACGGGTGATTGCTGATGGCAGTGATCGATAGCACTAGCTGAGTGACAGGCGAAACGAAGGACCCACATGGTGTGGTGGTGAAGGCGTTACTCCCCGGAAAGGATAATAGCGCGTTCGTTCCCCACCTCAGACAGCTACCTTCCGGAGTTTCCCAAATATCTCAGCATTATAGAAGTTATAATTCGCAACATGCCGTGCAATTAAAAGGAATAGGCAGTAAATAAAAAGGTGGAGATGAGGTCGTCAAAAATTCCCGCCATGATTGGAATTAGTAACGGGAACGTTCTACACCAACCTTTTCCGTTCCACAATTCCCTCCCGGACCTTAATATCTCTGCAGGGAAAAAGCCACCTGGAATTCTCCTGTGAGAGTTTCGACTTGCGATGGAAAGTATGAAAAGAGGCACAGCTTCAGGACCTGATAACATTACCCCGACTTCCTTAGAGCTGGAAGCCACAATTTACATGTATGTCTCGCAAACCATATGACAGCGTACCTTCAAAAGGGAAATATCCCAGACCAGTGGAGGACGTCGCGCACGGTCATCCTGCTCAGGAAAGATGACCGAAGGGATCTTTGCAACTATTGTCCGACATGCTTGTTGAGTGTACTCTATGGACTCTTCGCGAAGATTCTCCTCTCGAGCCTATCAAGGACATTGCTTGAGGCGCACCCATTCGAGTAAGCAGGAATTCGACAGGGATTTTGCTGCATGGACCACATCCAAACCGTGTCCAGGGTCATCGAATTTGTCGGAAATACCACTTGCTTCTAGTTCTAACCTTTGCCGACCATGAGAAAGCGTTTGACAGTGTCGAAACGAATGCAATCCTATCAGCACTCGTCGACCAAGGAGTGGACCCGTCCTACATAGGAACTCTGTCCGACAGTTATCGGAACTGCACTACGAAAATACAGCTTTTTCAACGACCTCTTACAATACCCACAGGAAAAGGAGTTCGACAGGGCGACACATTATCGCCAAAGCTGCTCAGTTCCCACAGCAATGGATAATGAAGTCACTCGATTGAGATGAGAAACGCATACATATTGGTGGAACATTCATATCAAACTTTCCTTTTCCGCCGACAACGTTATCTTTCCGCGCAGTACTAGCGAAGCAGAAATGATGATCAGCGAGCTCAATGAAGCAGAGAAAAAGATCGGACTGCGGATGAATCGAAAGAAGACTCAGTTCATGAAAAAACCCATGGTGCGAAGGCGAGAAAATTGAATTGGATGGCTCTCTGATTGCAGAGACCACCTCGTACGTATACCTTGGGCGACCAGTGAACATGGAAAATAACATGAAGGGCGAACTAGATAGAAGAAGGAGAGCACCTTGGGCCGCATTCGGCCCTTTCAAAGAAGCCACCGACCAACTGAAGTACCGGAAAATCCGCACTCATTTTTTCGTTCTACGGTCCTCCCAGCGCTCTGTTATGCTGCAGAGGGCGCCCCTAAGCTCTGCGCTATATGCGTGCCGAGAATGAACAAAGAATGGCTATATTGGTACTCTATGCAGAACTACACTCATACAGAATTCAATCAGTCGATGAGTAGTGAACAGAGTGGCTTGTAGACTATCATAACAGGAACACCGCTCGTTATTGGAGTGACGGTTCCAAGGCAAGGGAACTAGTGAGGAGCAGGGTGTCGCAAGTATCGTTCGGAGGAGCTATTTGGTAAATCTGTGTGGTAGCACATATTTAAAAAGTTAGCGAAGGATTACCTTCAGAATGTAGTTAAATTCCTAATAGATAATATGAGCGGCAAAAATATGGGAAATCAATTCAACGAGATGACAGCGGCTTCTGAGTGAGCCATTCTAATCATTTGCTTTACCTGCTCGGCTATGCTAAACTGTCTGGACTGAGGGAATGGCAGTTGTTAATGAATTAAATAAGCTTCAAAATCTCATCACAAAAAATAACTTTGCATTTATGTTTCCAACAGTAACGTTGCTTTACAGAGTGTGTATACTATGTGGACTTTCCATGGACTATCGATTTTCCTTTTCTAACAGTTTTTTCACAAGCACTCTAGGGATAAGTCATTCGTTATTCTAGAGAAGAGAGGGTATGGAGAGTGGTTCGTGAAATTTTCGGAAAAACCCAATAAAGTTTGAATTTCCCACCAATTACAAATAAGTTATATAGCACTGAAGTACGATATCCACTCCACTGGATTCGTTTCAATCTGGCTACGAGAACACAGATATCGCAAGGATGAAGAACTACTGTCAGCACTCGACTGGCTCTTAAGCAGGCGAATGCTCCGAAACGTTAACCGCGGTGGAAATTGGTGTAACAGCCTCCTTTAAGTCTGCTAATGCAACTGAAGAAATTACAATCGTCCAGAGAAATCGCGCAGCTGCTTTATGTAACCGGCTAGTAGTGAGAGCAACATTGTTTAGCATTTGTTGAACGATCAAAGAAAGGCGAAAAAAATTGGCCCCCATCTACTAAACACCACCAATCACGTGTGTTATAACGGAATTCTTCACTGACCTTCTGTTTAATACGTCTGTAAAAAAGTGGTTAGAACTGCATTAACACTGGCAGAAGGAACAGTTTTCTTTTGGTTTACGCCATGGCTAGACCTTAGAACCTTTCGAGCTTCGAAAATTTTGCATTCTGTTTTGTGGAAAATGCGAGAAATAGAAATTTCCCACTGTTTCCTTCCAGACGATGTGAACAGATAATAGAGGATTTTCTATTCTGCTGTAAACTCTTCGCACGGTCAACAACTACTATTTATTGGTCGAATCCATAGACTTTTCTAAAACAGCGACTTGGTAGGACATGTTGCACGTCTTCGGCATGAAGCGTTTTTTTTCCTGCTTTAGCACATTGTTCGAAAACTTCAGATATGATACGGCTCACATTCATTCTGAGCTTCTGCATCGCTAGTTCACACGCGTCCTCAACTACATAGATCGCATCATTCCCATCAGGCAGGGAGCCAGTCTCCCGCATCGGAATTCCAAAGCTTTCCACTGACCTTTTATTCATCATGATTGCGTCCTTGGGTGGATCAATAATAAGCACACGTTCCTTGCGATCCCTTAGTTTTCTTCTGTCGAACGTAGTGGCAATAGAGTTGTTCTCCGCAGTGGATGTTGGCGGCGGACGTTGTATTGATGGGATGACTTTTTTTTTCTTATTGCAAAGGTTGGTCATGGCAGGCAACAGCTGGCAATTAACTCTTCCTACAGAAATTCGCTCTTATATAAGCCATCGCGACCCCACTCCGGGACTCCTGTTATCTCCTTTTATCTCAGTGTTAATGGGATTATCAGTGCGAACAAAACAAAGCAAAACATGAGAATTTTACACGATTTTTACTTGTTTTTCAGTTATCACAAGCGATTATAGGGTTTCGGCATATTTCGAGCGGTCGGCCAACTAATGAATGAACGATGAATTAGTGGTATCATAGAAGAATCTAGTGAAAAAAGCAACAAACTTTCCCCTGGTCTACGAAAGCTGCAAGCAATGCTTATGGTGACGATTCGAAAAACTCTAGCGTGGCCATGTGGGGTTTCCAAAGGCCATGAAGCTCAACCAGCATCCAAGATGTCGATTAGAAGAGATGATGACAGATTTTCAATTCGGTGCCGAACCCATCTCCGAACCCGAACATATCATTGATAGCATGGCAGTCATACGAATGGAAGTAGTGTTGCAATACGCATGTCATGTTAAAATAAGGTAATCTAGGTACTATTCAAGAAGGTAAGACCGCTGTGCACAAAATCCACGAAATCGTTTTGCTGTAGGAAACGAACAAATATTAATACATTTGTGTTTACACTAAAATGTCGACCCAATTTTTAAAAGATAGCCTTTGAGGTGCCGTGGAAGCAATGAATCTTCACAGCTTAGCATATTCTACAAAGCAAGGAGTTTGGTATTGATTGGTAGTGAGGGCATGTGAGATGGAGACTCATTTCCACACAGAATGAGGTCATCGTCTTTTATTGGGACAAGAGGACAGATTGATACATTGAAACAAAATCATGTCTTAGGAAACCAGTCACGGCTTCTGGTACAGGCCTGGTCCATCCTAGAATTCTAAGAGTTGTTAATGTATTCAACACTTAGACACACTTCCAACCTTAGATTAGACATATTAGTTGTCATTCATTGCTACGGAAATGTGAGGATCGTGGAAAGTGAGAGCAAAAGGGAAAGGCAGAGCTTGGGACTATCTTATCGAGTTCGACTACTGGAATACGGTGCAGTATTGCAGTTAGTACTTTATTCACAAACTCATAGAGCTGAATAACATGCTTGTTAGTGCAACTCCCTAAGAATCCTTAACATTCGTTTTCGCATGGGTACTAAGACGAAATAATCGTAAATGTTCTCTTAAATGTGTCCATAAGTTAAAATCCGGGTCCTTTTGAATTGCATGAGTTTGTGGTTTATTTTCTACTTTCTTTTTTACTCCTTTTTTTCTATTTCTCGGTACGACAACGAAGACGCCACATCGAGATGACGAACAGCTGTGGACAACCGACACCGATCAGCGGCTCTGATGAGGACGATGGCGTTGAAACGTTAGCCGAAATAAACATTTCTATCAACGTGTAAACTCAACAATTTAAAACATGTTGATTTGTGGTTTATGTTTACAACCTTAACTGAATCACAAGCTTTGGAAATGCACTGCCAGTCTACTTCGCTTTCGCTAGTTCGTATTTATAAAAACAGCGCATTAACACTTAATGGCTCCATCTATTTTACCATAGACAGGAGTTATTGAAAGCAAAATAACATAGTTATGTACTCAAGTAGGCCAAAATAACATATTTTATAGATCCCAAATCTTCCATTTCGTACGCTGCGCCGCATCCCTTTTTCTCGGTGTTCAGACTTGCATATGGGTTCGACTACTGCATGGTTTCGGTCTTCTCTACGAATGTGGTTGAATGCTACTTGAATTTATCTATAGAATACTGAACAACTCTACTGAAGCGTCCTTAGTTTTTAACCATTGGCTGTAGTCGGCCTTTGTAGATCAAAGTCGGGACTATGGAGGAGTGCATGGTGAGCCTCTGGCGGAATCGACCCACCACCGTGCTCGTGACTATCGGATCGGCATCACTACCACTGTGTTATCCGCTGAATGGTCCTTTGGATAAAACTTTTTACATGAGACTTGTCCCATTTTTGACTGCTGCCAGAGAACGAAATCCAGGATGGTGCGGCTGCAGAAGAATCATTAGTGATAATCCACTTCTGTGGGCTATTTGAATGCTGTTGGAAATACAATTTTCTTGGAATAATGTGTAGAGATATCTGGAGAAAATAAATTCTAATTCTAATCAGCGTGATTTCCTAATGTGTAACGAAAATTAGGTTTTAATAACAACATAATGTGAGTAGTTGACTAATTTGCGCCGGACTACTGGCAAAATATGGCACTATTCAAAACGATTGCGATGTTTTGGTGAGGATAACCCGAAACAGAGAAGGTGGGAAGAATTTGCGCACCAACTGTGATGGCGTTCGTGTAAGGGGTGTACCTTCAGCACGACCGGTGTACACAGTCTCCACCTGACAAACAGGAATGATTTCCTATACTAATTTCGTTTATTCAAATGGGTAAACAGATCGTCTCCTAGTCGACAAACTTGTGTCACATTAATATGTGTATTGCTGCTTGTGGGCTGCATAGGGCTCGACACCAACATCTGTCTTTTTTGCGAGTCAGCAGGAATTTGAGCCGTAATGAATGTAAACTAAACAGCATGGACTTTACAAAATCTTAGTCATCGTTAAACAGCAGTACATGGAGGTATTCTGTAATACTAATGCCGTAAATATTGGTATTGCGTTTAAATTACCAAAGAATCTTCCTAGGGACCATATCTAAAAGTGCTCTTTCAGCCACAAAATCTACCTACCCTTTTCTAATGCTTGGCGCAGCCTGGTTGTTTAAAGGCCCGACCGAAGTCTTATTGAGGTCGGGACTACTAGGAGATACTTTCCGGAATGCACCATGGTGCAGTCGCTGTTGGGAGCACGATTAGTGGTCTGGGTTTTTACCATCTGGGCCCTGTCAACAACCTCGCTGATCTATCAGCTTCCTGTCTTTCCGGGGATATCCATCGACTATAATGACAGCCACAGTGTCCAACAAACCCCGATATGCTACATAGTATACCCGCGTAGCGGTTGCGTGACGTCACCGCCTTCCCGGCACTTTGTGGGCCTTCCGGTCTCATGTGCCCCTCGTCGCATGTTCCTGTTTCGTTGGAACTTGGCAACCACGCCGGAACAGTGAAAATCCGGCTGGACTGCTCACTACGCAGATGAGATGGTCCCTAATAGCGGCGCCAGCAATCTTAGATCGTATTACACGCGGGTTTGTGATTGAGTACTAGAAAGTGTGTTAGCGCATAGAAAAACGTCAGCAATAGGAACGTACATACAAACGTACACATATACATTTATACACATTCTACAGATATAAAATACAAACAACATGGGCACAAATTCGTACACTGTGCTATAGTCAACTAGGACTTTATAACAGATTTGCAACAATTTGACATATATGTTTAGTCGTAGCTAAAAATGTTTGAATTTGCCAGATTTCTCTATGCAAAACCGAGTTCGTTTACCGTAAAGGAACATTGTCTAGTGGTTGTGCTCCTTCCTCATAATGTACTGTAAAACGTGGTTTAATATGTCAAAGCTTTTATTCATCCACATTACCAGACGTTCTGACCATTTCGCCTTCTTGAGAGCTTGGGAACGTCGAATTGACAGGCCATTTCCTCAACAAAAAGACGTCGAAACGTTGGCCGAGTGAGTCTTTTTTTTACACAATATACTCTACCGTGAGAGATGGTAGTAGGAAGCAGATAAAAAGTTAACATTGTGATTTTAATATATATTCTTTCTTGATAAGCTTGCACGAGGTTGATAAATATATTTATTTTCGGCGAAAGAATACATGTTGATTAGTCACACCGAGGTTTAGAGAAAGTCGGTTTCGAAATATTATTGTGATTTTAACTATAGCCTCATCTTAACTGGATTTGATGCCGATTTGTGCTCTCGAGATCAATCCTTTTGACGGATGATTACTGATGGCACTGCTAGATAGAAAACTAGATGAGCAAAAGGCGATGCGGACCCGCGTGGTGTGGTGGGGAACGCGTTAGGCCACCGGAAAGGTTTAAAAGCGCGTTCGTTACCCACCGCCGACACCGAGGGTCTGGAGTTTTGCAAATATCTCAGTGTCATTACGGTTGAATTGTTTTTATCATTCTCGTGTTAGCTTAATCGGAAGAGGTACTGACACGCATTCTACTTTGCAAACACTTCCGTAACCTCAGCAGAAAAAACTTAACACAGATTTTCAATGGCACGATAAGTAGCTTTCTTTAAACACTCACGTTTTGTTCTTTCTAAACCCTGTTTTAAGCAGTATCTTTAAGAAAAAAGTGGCGAATGGGCGAATGGTGCTCCTCGTTGTTGGGCAACTAGGATCAAAGTGTGATAGAAGTGATGGTTTAACAGATTACGTTTGTTGAAATTTGTTCAGGCTGATAAAAACTCATCAACAAATCGGATTTTCTTGCCAGGTTGATACGCTCCGTTTCCGTGCGTTGCGCGTTGTGCTCCGACCATACGTTGGAAGTAGATTGGAACGCTGACAAAGGCTGGAGGAAGCCGTCTGTTCATCCGCACAGAAGCCATTCATTCGATCCTCATAATTAAACGAGGTTTCAGGACAGTTTCATCAGAAGATGATCGTCGTGGTGTCGCCGTTATTACTGATCGAACTATGGGAGTATTGATAAAACTGAAGTATTCAGAACCTATCTGTATCTTCGTACTTCAAACAATCGCTACACTAATGTTTCCGTTGATGTTTGACTGCTGATAGCACTGTTATATTAAAAGATTGGCTGGAAGAAAGGCAAAGCAAGGGCTTCGGTTGATGTTTTGGATTGCACTCAGAGTATGTAGACGCCGGTTCGAGGCTCAGCTGAGGTTCAAAGGATTGTTAATATCTCAGCTTCATATCTCAGTATCCTTGTGGTTGTACTATGATACTACTTCTCGTTAGAAAGAGTTTTTCCCCAGTCGTCCCGATATCAATACGATTTAGGTTGGATCATCAAACTACCAAACTTGGCCGCACGTTAAAATGAAAAATG